GGAATTGTTCGGCATTCAATGCTTCTGCTTGTTACTCGTACAGTGTAATGTAGACTATCTGACTGGTGGGCCTAAATGCCCGTAGTACTAAGCACTATATATTATGGGTGTAACAGAATGCCTCCCAGCCGAGTTCCGCTTCGGTTATACCTGCGTTGTGCAAGAGGCCACATGCTTGGGCCTGCTACTTGATGAACCAAGTATCGCGGTTAACCCGGCCTTTCCTGAAATTCTCTGGCTAGGGAGCGTTAAGGCCGATGTGTTTGGTGTAGAGAAGACATTTGGTGACATGTCGCTCGCGGCTCGGTACCTTGTCCTGCACCAAAACCAAACACTAAGCTGCTGCTGCTCGAATCGACTCGCTTGCTTTGTGCCAGTCATGAATTAACCAACATGTTGGTTGGTGATCCTGGGTTGACATTATGTTGGTTCATCGCTGGTAGCCATCAAGATGTACTCGGTGTAGTTCCCGTGCTTCCAAGCGTGATTCCAACATGCTCAACTGCGGCCTGCCACCTTGGCACCGAAATCGCGTTGAACAGGCCAAAGCCCATCATGAGACCTTTCCCACGGACGACAAAGACCGACGTAGACGAGCGGAGCGGTATTGGGGCCAAACCATGTCCTTCAGCAACGGAGCTATTCCCAGACCTAGCGAGTCAAGGAGCACAAACACCCCTTGACACCAACTGTATTTTTGCGCTACTTCGTGGACCTGAAAGAATTGCGCACATTGGCTGAGAGGGGCAAGCAAGTGTTGCGCGCCCAGCGTATTCATATCAGACTGTGTACAATACATAACGGATCGACAAATCTCGTCTGCATAATGCTCCGCCAGCGCTGTGAAATCTGTTGCCACATCCAAGTCCAAGGAACGCTGTTCACTCGTCGGGGGATGCGTGGCACAGGACTGCGAGGGTGTAACGTCATTTCTGCGATAGCCAAGGACGTCGAGAAGCTCGTCAACTAGCGGGTACAGTATAATCAATGTCGCCCAATAGATGAGGTGCGATTCAGCGCAGGCCAGGGAGGCGAATTGGAAGGGATCGGGGAATAAAGAGGTGGCAAGGTGTGCCCTCATGTCATCCCGCAAGGGAACATCACGAAGGCCTGCCGACGGCGTCCCAAGTTTCTCCTGCATCCTGAGACAAGTCCGGTGTAGTCTTCCTTCTAGCGATAGGCAAGAACCCAGTAACTTCTCGCCGTCGTTCTTATTGTCTTTAGGGCTGGCAGGGAGTTGCTCGATGAAAATGTCTACGTGCTCTATGAGAGCAGAGCACTCGGCCAGAAGGTCCGTCAGTTCATCGATTGGCTCAAGTTCCGTTGAGCCCTGGGATAAGCGCTGTTGCGTAGTCAGAACATCGTAGAGGGTGGCGGCCTTGCGTCTCCCCACCGCATCACATAACTGGGCAATTCGATGTCAGCAACACTCAGTTGTTACGAGGATCAGCTGGTTAATCAATCCGAAGCCAAGGAGACTGACAGTAACAAATTTGAGTTGACGGTGGAACAACTTCTCGGCAATAGTTTCTTTTTTGCGGACGCTGCACTGGTTAATAATTGCGTTACTGCCTTGCACATGTGCTATCCAGGCCATAAATCCCGGGGGTGACGAGTGGATTAACTTTGTGAAATGTTAGGCCAGTCGCGAAGAAAAGGCGTAAGGTGATGAAAATAGGAACACTGACTTCATATAACTGGAATATGACTGTTGTGTATAGGACATCTTGCCCTAAACCTCTGCCGGATTTGATCTTGCCATACATGATCTCCATCGAATTGTTATAGAGCTTCGTACTATACCCGAGTAAACGATCGTCCTTGTGTTGTTTCGCAAGAAAAGCAGAAGAGAGCGATAGAAGCGCTCTGTCCAGCAGAGGACTATTTCCACATAGTTCAGGGAGCGTTTTGAGAATGTTTGAATCTTTTCCATCTTGCAAATGCCGTGACGAAGGAAGAAAGCCCCCCACAAAGGAGGCGAGCAGCTGTGATCGGACCTCCGCATTGATATTCAAACGGGGAAGGCCTGGCTCCACTCGTGTTAATTGACGGTCGGGAATCTTCCCGGAGGTCGACTTCGGGCGACGGACGAGCTTCAGTTCTCCATCATCTAAGACTTCGGACGATTTGTGGATAAAGACCCTTTTCCGTTCATAGCCGGTACAAACATGGCCGTTCTTGATGCATCGATTGCATTCCGGCTTTGCCTCGTCACACTACACAAAGAGTCATAGTTAAGACGACCGTTCCTGTTCCGTCTCCGAGGGCAATCAAGCCTGTTCGGGCCTCGCTAGATAGGTCTTACCTTGACCTTTCGTCGCCGGCACGTATTGCATCCGGTTGATCGAAAAGGAATGCCTCCCATAGCCGATTAATTTCGTCCCACAAGCCGTCTGCCACGATTGATAAGATTTAGGGCGGGCAGACTGCAGACGGAGAACCGCTCGCTGTAGGAAGATGACTATTATCATTCGGACTTTCGTGGCATTGTCAAGACCGCATCAGTAACCCCGTACGACGAATAATTGGCGAGGATTTCTAGCGAGACACCTGTAGATATTCCAGGTACTAGTAGATACGTATCTGAGGAGAGGATGGGGATCGATTGTCGTCATGGACCGCGCCACTTCACGTGAGCCCCCATTATTGGGCTGAGTTTGTTTCTTTTTCGGTCCGCTAGACGATCGTCCCTGACGGTTCCTTATCGGCTGTCATTCTTTTATCATCACTTTTTCTTTGCAGAAGCCTTCAATTCTGTAGGACTTAAGGTACAATCTTGGTCCACACGCCATCGCGCTCGCTTCATACGACCCTTGCGACCGGCCGAAGCAAGACAATGTCCTACAGAGCTTGATTGTCGCGCAGTTGGCACAAGGTTTGGATGGGACGCTGGCGATAAAATGCCCGGCACTTGTGAGGTTTGCGTCTCGGAGCCTTCGAAGTACCGATGCCCAACATGTGGGCTCATGAGGTATGTTTGTGCTTCAACTCGTTTCTCTGGGAATGAAAGAACATACCCGTGCTAATTGTCGTCGTTCTAGTTGCTCCTTGGCATGCACTCAGTCCCATAAAATCTACTGCGCACCTAAAGCACCATCACCAAAACCGACCGGTCCAACCGTCGACCCTCAACAGCCTCCCAGCGAATCGAACGAGCATGCGACCAGCGAGGTAGCACTTAAAACTCAGAACGGCCTCGATATCAAATCCCTAGGGAGCTCGGCCGAACTCAAAGATTTACTCGATCGGTTCCCTTCGCTTCGTGAGGAGCTGTACGATATCTACAAGGCTACTCTGGAGGAAGCATGGGTGGAGACTCAGCGCTTTGGAGGTCGGGGTCGACACCACGGGAGAGGCAAGGGACCGCATCGTCATAACGGACCGTGGACCCGTGAGAAGGGCTTCAACCGAGGAGTGGGAAGGGTGAGGAAGCTACGGGAGAGATGCGAGGAGGGTCTGGAGACTGGGAAGAAAGCGGAGGGGTTCGTGCGCTTCACGTCCCTGGTCACTGGTAATGAGCTTCCACACGAGGGCATGTAAGGGACCCCATAATGGTTGCGAGTCCATTGGAGCAGGACCCAACGCTGCCGGCATTAATGCCTAGGTACTTCCCGGCTGCGCACTCCACGATAAGATCTGCCGAGGATGTGTGTATTTGCATGCTAGACCAGTCAGGAGTGCATGGGGATGAGAAAGGTGGACAAGGCATCAGTGGTGAAGACGGATGTTCCAGTACATCCCGAGGATACATATGAAAATATATAGTAGTCCGTTAACTCGCTCAACCCCATCACCGACCGCGGTTGATCCATCTTCGAAAGCCACTGTATTACTAGAAACGAATGAGATTTCCCCAATACGAAGTACTATTCACTGTCTGCTGTCCGCATTTTTTGAGCCTGGACAGAGGTGTGGCAGGCCAAACAATGTTCACTTTTTCCAATATGCGGTCTAGCTGAAAGCTCGGTACTTTTTGCATGGCTTCACAATGACTAGCTATCACAGCATACACCGCCATCAAGTTGCAACAGTACCACCGAGTCTCCGACATGTCTTCAGGTTCCCGAAAGGGTGCATGCCACCCATCTGCACAACGCCATGTAAGCATGAGGTGCATGAACCGGATTATCCTCCTGAGAGAAGCCAAAGAGTCTAAGATATACCTAAGCCAGGCTGTGTCAGGCTATGTGACCTGTGTACCTTTTGACGGGATAACAATGCACCAATGTAGACTTGAGAGATCAAAACCATCCAAGTTGATGCTGACATCGACATATCATAATGTTAGTGCGATATCAGATGTGACGGAGTTGGCCACTTTAAGGCCTAAGGCACCGAAACATATATCTCAACGGCTGTTTGTAGTCCCGAGATGCATCGTGCAGCATGTAGCATAAGACTTTTAGTGTATACTCCACCAACTACCCCATCTCCTATCCAGGCAGGCCTACTGGCAATGATGCTCGGCAAGAGATCGTCTGTAAGTAACTCTTATGCTAACATGTGACTAAAGTCAAAACCAACCCAGGGGCCAAAGAACGAAGGAAGACAGCGCCATCGTGGACCAAGCATTGAAACCAGTAGCAGTCGCTATGTGCATCGAAACCTGGTCAAGCCATGTTTCAGAGTTTGACTTTCAGCATGGCCAGATTGGGGGGTCCGTTGTCCATGGCGGAAGCATGAGAATGGTTCAGGTTGAATCATCCACTTTTCCACGCACTTGCATCCCCAGCCGAACTGAAGCGAGCGATCTTCATTAGAGCCTTTATTCAACCCAGGCAATGTATACTATCTGTCTACTCCGTAGTATCTCTCCACCCCCCATGAGGGGGGAGATGGCGGGGAAATGTGACCCGTTCGAAAGGATTCCTCCAAATGCCGCCAATCGTCCATCACCGTGCCTCATCGCATTTCATGCCTACCAACGAGATGCCCGAACAACGGGGATTTGAGCAATTGGCCTTAACCTTAGGATTTGCCTTGTTGTGATTCGCAAAGGCCTCCAGACTACTTGAGCTAGTTACCGATCTCCCCGTCTTGGGACAGTGGCTAAGTTTTGACGAACTGCGATGTAATTCGTCCCGAGCACCTCCGCCCGCTCATGTCAATGGGAATTTCCGGGGAGGAGAAAGAGACACCGTTTGCCTGTGACGTTCTTACTGTATGCTTGGAGACACTCTGGGGAACAATCAATTGGGTGAATCGAATTAGATTGAACGCACTGCTATTCTTGAATGCAAAGTAACTTGCGCGCTGTTTAGTTGAGTTAGCTTTGGACGGCCGACTCCCTTGCTGACAAGCAGAAGCGGATTGGGGTTCTGGATCGTTGGCCGGAGAGTTTGGTGAGGAGGAGAAAAGGAAAAGCGTGAGGAGAGAAAGGCGGCGGCGGCGGGCACACAAGGACCATCCGGTGGTGAACACGACCGAGTTTAGTAAGATCACAATCCTCCCAGTTGGCCTGGGATGTCCTGCCATTGTGTTGCTCCGCTAGGGATTCTGCCGGATTGACCCATAGAAGTGCCCCGGTGTTTCTAATAATAAAAGAATTTCAAAACATAAAAGCATAACCATAATAATTATAATAATAATAATCATCCTGCCGTTGGAGAGAGAAGGGTTAAAACCAAACCAAACCAGACTTGCTTTCCAAATCTCCCCGCCCGCAGCCTCCACCCCAAACTGCCCCAACTTCTGACTGACTCTTTGGGGGCTCAATTTTTCGGTCGAGTGACATCTTCCCGCCTGCAACTGGCGGCCCTCCCTCAAGCTGCTCTCTCCCTGACACCCCTCTGTTTCTTCGCTGCCACTCATAGCTCTTACTGCCCCCCTGGTCGATTTGCCAACCCGGACGAGTTCTCGTAAGACTTGTGCGACCCTCTTGCCGGTACCATCGTGGTTTCTGTTGCTAACTTGGGTTCTACCTGTGTCCAGCTCCGGTAACCTGCCTCAGCCGACGAGATCCCCGGATAGTCGAGAAAAAGCAGGAAAAGGAAAGACGGAGAAAAAAGAAAAGAAAGAAGAAAAACGAGGCAGACGACCATAAAAAAAAACCACTCAGCTAATCATCATCGAAATTTGACCACCACAAACAACCGAAGATAAAAGGGGAACATTTACCCCCCCGAGCTGATTCGAGCAGCCTCTTGGAAATCTTTCGATTGCGGCGAACCCCACGAAGCCTGGACCTTTTCTACGTTTTCCACCCAAGCGACAATGGATGAGCTGTCGTGTCCGCCTCACTCACTTACGTAGCTGTTGGACCCTGCGCTGTCGCACCTTGTTTGTTCGACCGGACCTTACTCGCGCCACAGCACCGCCCATCCGTTCGCGCAGAAAAAGAAAAAGAAAGTAAAGCCACATCGTCACCATGGCCTCCCAACCTTTGCGAAGAGAACGAGCATCTAGCGATAAAGCTGATGCTGCGCCATTTCCACAACGACCGGGCCTTCCCAGTCGAACGATTTCTGCTCCCGTCGGAGGTTTGTACCGACTTGATTCGGCTAGAACGGCGATGGAATCGGGGAATAAGGTCGACCGGACACTTCTGGAGGAGGATGAGAACCCGCCATCGGCCGGAGGGGATAGGGTGCCATCATCAACCCGTGAGGAGGTATGGCTAATCCAAACTCATGTCATTGGACCCTTTTGGCGAGCGCAATGTTTTTCTGACCCCCGTGCGTGTACCGCAGACAACGCCGAAGCCGAGTTTCCCCCATGTGAGCATCGCGGTGGTCGGTCCTGACCATGTCGGAAAATCGACATTCATTGAAACCGCCCTGGACATGAAGCATCCGCTTACTTCCCGATCGACGACAAAGAAGATGTCCCTGGACGGGACGGTGTACTTGGTTCGCCTGATGGAGATAGATACATTGGAGATTACGATTGGGAGCAATGGCGAGGTCAACTGGCCCTTACTGGGTAGCGACTCGCCTCCTACAGTGGATGGGGTGCTGGTTCTACTGGATATGACTCAACCGGCCAGTTTCCCTGAATTTACCGAACTATTAGGTTGGTCGCATTGCCGGTTCGGCAGCGCCGGGGTCGCTGCGCAATTTAACTCTAGGATGTGGGCTGATGGACTGCAGACTCCTTAACCGCTTCTGACATACCCTTTACGTTGGTGGCCAGCAAATGCGACATACAACCCCCTGACAGCCCTGTGGAGCCAATATTGGGTGGCTATGAAATCCACCGGACCTCACCTGACTCACCACGGTCGCAGAAGATGTGCATTGCCTTAGTTCTGCGCTCTGTGATCAACCGTAAATATGGTAAGTGAACAAGCTGACCTATGCGATTGCCATGTGGATACGCGAGAGGCGAGGAAAGCCACAGAACAGGGCGGAACGGTCCACTGCCTCGGTGGCCATCTGTCTGCTCGCATCACCCAACGCATTGCGTCGCCCCCCGGCTATAGCCCATCCCTTAGAGTGATGGCCCACTGGGTTTCGCGCTAGTTTGCGGCGCGGCGTGCGTTTAGCGTTCGCGTATCTCGTGGTGCAGTGGTTCTGTGGTTTTCAGGACCCGCCGATCCCTCGGGTCCAGCGCAAGAGCAGCTGGACCGCAGCTGGACCGCAGCTGGACCACCCAATTCCTGTGGCCGTTATTTTCCCGCTGGTCTGGTTCACACGTGGATGCTAACGGCTCCTCTTTTAGACTTCATCGATTTCCCCTCCAACTCATCCGCCACCCCAGACTGGCATCACAGCCGCACCAACTCAGAGACCCCCACCGCTGTATTATCCGGAGCCGCAGGCGGCCCAATCACAGGACCTCTTGATCCAGCTGTCGATGGGTACGGTGTAGACCGGCAACCCACCGACCCGGCCACCTCTGCCAACCTGGCTTCCAATGGCCAGGCCTTTCGTTACGCCCGGAGCAACTCGCATCCGGTGCGACCGCATACGCCTCCTTCGGGGTCCCGGTTGGCCTCGCGCAAACAGTCTGTATCCGGGGAGTCGTCGCCAAGTAAGGATCTCAACCGACAACATCGACTTCACACGGCCTGGCGCAACAGCGGCGGGTCAGATGCGTTCAGCAACTTTTTAGAGATGGGGGAGGACTTCGATGGGCCCCGGAGTGCTCCGTCGAGCCCGGGAAGCAAGGACCAGACGCCTAGCGAGAGCTCATCGAATGATGCAGGCTTCACCTTTGACGAGCTAGTAGATCGTCTGGTCGCACAACCGATGTCCAAGCAAGATTCGAAGTTTGCGTCCATCTTTTTATGTCTCTATCGCAAGTTCGCCGCGCCGTGCACCTTGCTGAATGCTCTGATTAACCGATTCGAACGGAATGAGAACGACATGACGGACCAACTCGACCGCATCGCAGTTCAGCTGAGGCTGCTGGGCGTGATGGCGCAGTGGGTTTCTGAATATCCGGGCGACTTGGCGTACCCGAAGACTCGCAAGCGAATCACCGATTTCGTCACGACGCTGGAAAAGAGCCACTTTTACATGTTTGCCGCCAAGGAGATCGGATCGTACTTGGAGGGGAATGCAGATGACGATAATATTGGATGGCCGTATAGGGATGGCGACATGGAAGAACCTGACACTGCCGACCCCCCGTTCCAATTTTCTGGGCGCAGCTCACCATCAATTTTCCTTGGGGCGCCGCCGCTTGGCGATGAAGGCGAGGAAGGGGAAGAGGACCCTATTTACAACATGAGCGCTTTGGACCTTAGCGAGGGTGCAGCCGAGCCTGCGTCGAGACTGTCGGGGTCGATGTCGAATTCGTTTACCTCCGAAAAGCCCGGGACCATCGCCAGCCAGTCGTTCACATTCCTAAGCACCGAAGCTGCGCAACGGGAGGCGCATAATCTGGATCTCACGCCACGCATCCCGCTAACGAAAATTCAATGGCGCCAGCTGATGGAGATCCCGGATGAGGATTTCGCACGGGAGCTGACGCGCATGGACTGGATCATGTTCAATTCTTTCCGACCGCGAGACCTTGTGCGACATGTCAGCATCTCCGGCGTGGAGAAGGATAAGATTTTGAGCTTGAAGCACGTCAATCGGATGATCAAGCAGTTCAACCATGTCGCATTCTTTGTAGCCAGCGTGATTCTACTTCGGGACAAGCCCAAGCATCGCGCCAAGGCGCTTGAGAAATTCATGAACATAGCATTGGTAAGTCTGACTTAGAAGAACAAAGCCGAGACGTTTTCTGACAGCCGCAGAAACTCCGCCGACTTAACAACTACAATTCTCTTGGGGCCGTGATCGCCGGCATCAACGGAACCCCGGTGCACCGACTGTCCCAAACGCGGGAGCTGGTCCCGGTGCAAACACAAAAGGACTTCATGAGGCTGGTCATCCTCATGGGGACACAGAAGAGTCATTTTGCATATCGTCTCGCATGGGACAATTCCTTTGCGGAGCGCATCCCGTTCCTGCCGCTGCACCGACGCGATCTGGTGTCAGCGGAGGAGGGCAACAAGACGTTTGTGGGCGACAACAAGAACCGCATCAACTGGCGCAAGTTCGAGGTAATGGGAGAGGTGGTTCTGGGAATCCAGCGCAGCCAGAAGACACCGTATCCGCATATGTCCAAGTACGAGGAGGTAGAACGGTTGATATTAGAGATTAAGCTGTCGGGGGATGACGAGGTACGCTATCATCCTCTTTCTACCATTGACCATTCTAATTCTATAATGCTAACAATCAGCAGGACTTGTATTCGCGCAGTATGCAAGTCGAACCCTCGGCAGGCGGCGACACCGGACGCAAGAAGTTCGGCTGGTTACGGTCGTGAGAGACGAGAGAGAGAGAGAGAGTTATGACTACTAGTTGCAGCAGAGTCTGCAATCGCAACAGCAACAGCAACCACCAAGCTGACGAGTACAATGAATGATGATCGTCATTTGATTGATGATGATGTACATAATGTAGTTTTCTACTACACACACAACCCCATCCATATCTTGCTACAATTTACAATTTAGAGAAAGAAATGTGAAATCACGTGATATACACCGCATCCTCCGTAAACTTATCCGTAGCCATCCATCCACGCCATCAAACCCACCACATACATACATACCTACCTACACCACCCACCAAACACCTCCTCCAATCCCAAAGGGAATCAAACCAAAACAAAATTTTCAAAATGTCCACAGCCGCGAAAACAACCTACCGCGCCCTCCTCCGCGAACTCCCCCGTCGGACCCTCTCCACTCCTACTCCTCTCCAACACCGCCTCCGCGACATGTACACCAGCAACAACAGCCAACAATTGAACGTCGCGGACGCAGACGCACAAGAATCCCTCCGCCAACATCGTCTCGATCAGGCAAACCAGTTCGCTATCTACGCTAAAGCCCAGCGCGTGTATGCCGAGCTCGTCGAGAGATATAACCCTGGTGCTACCCTCGATGAGGAGGAGAGGATTCGGTTGACGGCTAGACGGGTCGGGTGGGATTTGCCTGTTGAGGCGGGGAAGGAGAAGGATGAATAAGTTGATTTATGGCCGGGGTAGTTGGGGGGATACTAGAGATGGGGGCTGAGGTGGGA